AGGGGAGCTGCTGCATTGTAAATTTTGGTCAATGACATGAGACAAAGTATATGTGAACTGCTGTATGAAAAGTGAATTTACTCTGTAAATCTTCACCAAAATCCTAATAAAAAAAAAAGTGTTTGTATAGAAAGCTTCCAATCAAATATGAAACCCTTTATATTAAACTCAGCTCATCTGTTAGGAGCTAACAGTTTTATATACATTTCCAGCTGTATTGTTCAAGTCCAGCTGCTGATTGTGTAGGTATGAGCACTTGCCATTTTATAGGCATTCAGTTCCTGGTTGATATGATACCCATGAATGTATCAGTGTTTATACTATTAAGCAGAGAGCCTTATGATAAGCTGTTTCAGGTTTTTCCATGAACTCATTTGCTGCTTGTTTTTCCTTGTTAAGAATCCCCATGCTAGATTATCTCTATTCCAGCCCTAATTTTGTGACTTAATTTTTGAGAGCTAGTATGTTTGTGTCCTCAAATGATGTACTAATTGGTTTACATGTACTAACTGGTTATATACTACAAACACAGGATAGGGAAGCAATAACTTTCCAAGTGCTTTTATGGATTTTATTTTTATTTATACCAATGCCCCCATGGTTAGGAGTGCATGATGATAACAGGCATAACTGTGTTCCTCTCAGGAATGATTCCCGCTCACCAGCAAGTATAAGCTACCTGCCTTCATTCTTCACCAAGCTTGAAAATACTTCACCCATGGTTAAATCAAAGAAGCAGGAGATTTTTCGTAAGTTGAACTCCTCTGGTGGAGGTGACTCTGATATGGGTAAGTGGGATTTCTTTCATGAACCCCAAATAACATAATAATGATATCTCCAATAGTCCTTGAGTTTGAAGGCAGAGTGTTTATCCAACCACAGGTGATCCTAAAGTTCCTTCTTTAAATGTCTGCTACTACATGAATATTTCTTAAGGAGGTGGAACTTCCTACTTCTAAAGCTGTCCATTTCATCTTTGAAAAACACCAGGTTTTTTCGTATCTGAGATGGGTTTAGCACTCAATAGGTTACTCATATTTTTTCCATTCTGGTGCTATTGAGTCAATTTGATTCATAGCGACCCCTCCTTGGGTTTCTGAGGCAGCATCTCTATGGAAGTAGATCGCCCAACTTTCCTTCTTAGGAGTAGCTGGTGGGTTTGAACCGCCAGCCTTCTGGTTAGCAGTCAAATGCCCTAGGTACTACACCACCAGAGCTCCCTTTTTTACCCATAATCATAGTTTTATCCATTTGTGCTATCTTAAATCCATTCTTTGTCACAGCATAACATCTTTTCAGGTATCGGAAGAAACAGTCATGTCTTTCACGAGTCTTCTTGTCTGTATAAACATCCCCAGTTTCATCAAGCATTACACGTCACTGCTCTAGACTAAAACCATTTCATTTAGTTAGCTTTTAGTAGGTTCTGAGGAGTACAAATTAGAGTAGTGTGTGTGGTATAATCTGTTCCCTATCTTAAATTCATCATTAAGGTAGCTTCTATGGCAACCACATGACACTGTTAAGTTATAGTGCACTTAGTAAGAATTCATAAGTCATGGTCTCTTTTGGGATTTCAGCTCTTGTGCCATACCTCTCCCTTACTGCATTTTTACATTTACTAGATCCAAGTAATAGGACCAGGCAATCTCTGCTTGCTCCATTCCAACTACTTTCTCTACCCTACCAGTATTTATATAGATCTCAGTTCAGCATTTATCTTAAAATTTTATATAAACTTACCATCTAAAAAAAGTTAATAACATCAGTATTAGCAGCAAATACTTACGTAACATTTAGTATGTGCCAGGCACTATTCTAAGTATATTACATATGTAAAGTTACTTAATCCTCAAAACAAACCTACTTATTATCTCAGATTTGTAGATGAAGAAACTGAGACTACAAAATGTGTAATAACTTGCCCAAGCTTTATCACTAGTAAGTAATGGGGCTGGCATTCAAATTGGCATTCAAGCTGTAGACTGTGCTTCTAACAGTTCTGTACTGATAGCATTATTAGTCGGTCATTTTAATAGGATGAAGCTCTGTGGCATCAGAAACTTTCTTTTGGGTCAGTATGCATTCGTTAAGGAGCTCTGGTAGCATAGTGCCTAAGGCACTTGACTGCTAACCAAAAGGCTGGCGGTTCAAATCCACCAGCCACTCCTTGGAAGGAAGGTTGGGCAATCTACTTTCATAGTGATACTGCCTTGGCAACCCAATGAGGGGTCACCATGAGTCAGGTCCGACTGGACGGCACGTAACAACAATGCATTCGTTAATCAGAACCTTCCTCATACTGTTATTCATTACACTCACTTATATCATCCCCCAGTCGTATTTATCCATTTTTCCTGCAGTATATCCAGTGATACAGGGGGACTTGGTTGGATACCTTGCTGAAACCTGGGCATATCATAATCTGTGCTTTGACTTCTGACCCTGAAGTTGTAGGCTAAGTATTAATGCTTGTAAGTGGTTAGATCTGTGGTATTTTGTGATTAATATTAAAAATCAGAGAGAAAAAAGGAGGAACTCAGTATCACTTTTTGTTCATGAGCTTATCCTAGCTCTTCATTAACTAGGTTCCCTTTCTAAGTGGAAACAAATTACCTAAAAGTATTTTTAAATATTGATCAGAATTGCTGTCAGATTTAGACATACCTTTTTAAATATTATTTTCTTTTGTTTCTGATCTCCAACTGCTTCATCTGTTATTTATAGGTCCTCAGATGTCACCAATAAAAACAATGTTCTTATTTTAAATTCTCTTAGAACCCTGAGATGAATTTCAAAAGCACAGAAGCATAGATTTTAGAAAAGCCAATTAAGAATTGTTTCACTTTTGTGTGGTTTCTACTCATCTCCTTTAGTCTTTGTTTTTTCCTTTAGTGAAAAGATAATCCTTGATGGGAAATGCCTGTCAATGAGTTGAAGAAGCCTACTTTATGAGAGGCAGTAGCTCTCATTCATTGATTGAACAATCATTATTAAGCAGGATACTATTTGGATGTTTTCAGTATGACAGAAGGGCTCTACTCTGGAAATGTAAAATGAAACAAGTACCTAACTTTAACAGAAGATAAAATTTCTTAATATCTTAAGGCAAGAACTAAAAAAATTGCTTTAGTCTGGGATTTTTTATTATTATGCTTGCCAAGAACTCATTTTGACTGTGGAAAGCTTAATTTATATTAAAGAACCAGTGAGCTCATGAGACACCAGGGCACATTCTGTCCTCATTGAGGAGTGGAATTAAAGCCATCTGAAACCAAGGCAGCTTCACTTAAACTGAACTCTCCCAATTCAGTGTTCCCACAAAAGATAGTAACTACTTCATTCTTTAAGAAACCTAAAGGAGCTTTGCTGGTGCTATTAAGGCATTTGGCTACTAGCCAGGTCAGCAGTTCTAATCCACGAGCTACTCCAGGGGAGAAAGATGAGGCAATCTGTGTCTGTAAAGATTTACAGCCATGGAAACCCTATTGTGTCACTATATAATTTGATAGCATTGGAGTTGGGTTAAGAAACCTAGCTTTAAAACTTTATTTGATCTCTTTGCAACATTTGGCACTTGTGCATTACCTCCCTATTATAGAAATACTCTCTTCTCTTTGCTTTCACATACTGCTTTCTCCTGGGTGTTTTGTTGTTGTTTTTCTTCTCTCTCTACTTTATTTATTCATGTATTTTACAGTATTAGTAAGAGTATTAAAGAACAGCTTTATTGATTTAAAACAAAAAAATATAAAGCACTAAGAAGCTTAAGCATCTAAGTCATAGCAAGCAGGTGGCAATTCAACATGCAAGGCCAACAGATTGCTTGAAGGAGACTGCAAAAGATTAAGACACCCCTGTCAGAGAAGGCATCTTTACAGGTGAGGGGGGACCCAAGTCTAAGAGCTTTGCAAGTTCTCTCTCCTCATTGAGAGTCATGAGAGACACACTATTCAAGGGGAGATATGCAGTCTGATACCCTTCAGACAGATCAAAACTCAAAATCTAGAGGATTAAAGGGAAAAAAAATTTCTGTTTCTGGATAGATACCATCAAAGGTAGGAACACAACTTTTGGCTTTACCAGTCTTCTCAGTTATCTTGGCAGAGAAGATTGGCTGTTTTTATTTGAGGGTATCCATTAGCCTTGTTGACTTTTCTGTAGCTCTGTTGACAGCTCTCAAAACCTCTCTGGCAGCTTTAGGTAGGGCAGATGGAACATCAGATGTTTTACCAACATGTGCTGCTGAGACCTGAGAACTCCCAACTTTGGCCTATAGGGCCCACAAAGGTGCCTGTTCTCCATTTTCCTGATCAAAGATTGAGAATTATTCTTGATCTAAACAGCCAAATTCACCCAAGATGCAGCCCCCTCAACTTAATCTTTAGTCATTTCTTTTGCTTCTAATGGCTTAGCCTTGCTTTGCCTGGCTCTTGAATGTTGATTTTCCTGAGGATTCTTGTCTCAGCCCTTTTCTCTTTTGTGCTCCGAGTCATTATTTCATCTATTCTCTGGGTTTAAATTGGCTCCTTTATGCCGAAAACTTATCTGGAGTTCAACTTTGACTCTTAAACTCTACTCATCTACTCTACTTAGCAGATCTCATTTCTCCTTGAATAACTTTCTAACACCTTAAATATCCAAAAAGTTACTCAAATCCATCTCCCAACAAAAAAATCTGTTGGCTTCATGATCACTGTCTTGGCAATTCTCCTTCTCCCTTATTCTTCACATCTTCTCAGATAATCTGTCCCTTCCCCCCATTTCTGAAAACTATCACATTCTCTTATAGCTATTTGCACATTTCCTTTAAATCAGGAGTCCTCAAATTTTAATACACATCACAATCACCCAGGGTGCTTGTTACTGCATTATCAGACCCCAGAATTTAGGAATTTACATTTTTGCTAAGCTACGTGGGTGATTCTGATCTGTACAGCCTCACTCAACAGTAATCTCCACAAGTGAAGGAAGGTATATATTTTAGTCCAGCATTAAACTGTTGTCTTTGAGAGAACTATGCAGAATTGCCTTCATCTGACTGTTATTATTAACAAGGTAATTTTACTATTAATCAACTGAGTAATTGCTCAGTAAATATTTGTAAAATGAATGAGTCTTATTCCGGAAGCATTTGTGATAACTAAAAAATTGAACCCATTACCAAACACCCATTAATTCCAACTCATAGCAACCCTATGGACAGAATAGAATTGCCCCATACACTTTGTAAAGCTGTAATCTTTATGGGAGCAGTCTGCCACATCTTTCTCCTGTGAAGTGGTTGCTGGGTTCAAACTAGCAACATTTCGGTTAGCAGCCAAGTTCTAAACCACTGTGCCACCAGGGCTCATTGTGTGATAAACTGTTAGGTTGTATTTATCACTTTATGTTACTTCAGGTTCAATTTATTTAGTATAAGTGTTATCTGGCCCGTAAGTAAGGAGACTGTCATCCATAACTATTGTGTTATATAGTTTGTCCTGGAGAACTTTCTCCTTTTGTCTTTTTGATTACAGCTGTTTTGATCAGAAAAGTTAGTCTTTTTGCCAGACATTTACTACTTACATTCTTTTCTTTTTCAAATTCTCAGCATCAAGTTGAAAAAAGCAATGGAAATACTTTATCCCCAAATTCCTTCCAGTTCCAGCACAGTGCTTTATGAGTGGTTTAGGTCTTCTGGTATTGTTCATTAAGAATTCGAAACTGCACTTACAGCAGGAATGAAAAGAGTCAAGAGTCTAGTTCTCATCCAGGGGGTATCCTGGAGATATAGAAGAGCTTCCAATTAACCATAGTCTTTTTACACTATTCACTGAGGAGTCACCAATCATAACATGTCTTTCTCCTACATATAACATCAGGTTGTCTCAAACCTGTTCATATTTGCAGAAGTGACTTAGATCCCTTGCATAGCAAGCCTAGACTCCTATTCTGAAGGCAAGCTTTTTTCTATTTGTGTTTCTCAAGCAGTGCAAAGTGTCTTTTCTTTTGCTGGGCTCTATTACTCCTGTTTTGATTTTCCTATCTCATCCCATTTTTTATTTCTTGATTTCCCTTTAAAAAATATTTCTTCCATTTCATCTTTTTTGAAAAACATTATAGTATTTTACTGTGTTTTGGGTGAAAGTTTATACAATAAATTAAAACCAAAAACTCACTGCCATCGAGTCAGTTCAACTCATAGTGATCCCTCCTTGGGTTTCTGAGGCATTATCTATGGAATTAGATTGCCCAATCTTCCTTCTGAGGAGAGGCTGGTGAGTTTGAACCTCCAGCCTTCTGGTTAGCAGTCAAATGTATTAGGTACTATGCCACCAGAGCGACTACAAAGCAAATTAGGTTCCCATTTAACAATGTCAATATGTATTGTCTGGTGACATTAGTTACCTTTTGCACAATGTATCAGCATTCTCATTATTCCCATTATGATTATCCAGTTTCTCTTAAATCTGGCTTTCCTGTCCATCTGTCGTCGTCCCCCCCCAACACACACACACACACGCTTTAGGATAAATGTTGACCATTGGTTTCATATAGATGATTTTTTTAAAAGAAGACGAATACTCAAAGGTGATAAATTTATTTTATGAGCCAATCTATTATTTACCTGAAAGGTGACCTCCAAGTGTGATTTCTCAAGGTGACAGACTCAAGGGTTCCTCCACTCTTGTACCAGTCTGGCCTATTTTTAAAATTAGTTTCTTGAGTCTTTGATTTTTTCTTTCTCTTTTGCTCCAGATGAATATAGACCCATAGTTGTATCTTAGATGGCCACTCACAAGTTTAATGGATCATAAAGTAGTTCTATTTCTAACTTTCTGAGAAATCACCATACCATTTTCCATTAGTGGTATACCATTTTACAGTCCCACTGGGGTTCCAGTCTCCCCACAAACTTGCCAGCATGTTTTTGTTATTCTCAGTCAGTGCCATTTTAGCTGTAGTGAGATTGTCTCATGGTAGTTTTGATTTGCATCTCTCTAATGGCTAGTGAAGGAGCTCTGGTGGATAGTAGTTACAAGCATTTGGCTGCTAACCAAAAGGTCAACAGTTCAAACTCAGCAACTGTTCCATGGGAGAAAGATGACATACTCCGCTTCCATAAAGATTTACAGCATTGGAAACCCTATGGGGGAGTTCTCTGTCCTTTAGGGTTGCTATGAGTTGGAATAGATTTGATGGCAGTGGGATTTTTTGGTTTTGTAAGGGCTAGTGATCGTGGGCATCCTTTCATGTTTGTTGGCCACTTGAATTTCTTTTTTGGTGAAGTTCCATGTCCCATGCCCATTTTTTAATTGGGTGATTTGTCTTTTTGTTGAGTTGTTGAAGTTTTCTGTATATTGTAGAGATTAGACCTTTATCAGATGTGTGGTTCCCAAAGAGTTTTTCCCAGTCTGTAGGTTCTCTTTTTAGTCTTGATAAAGTCTTTTGATGAATGTTAAGTATTTTAGGGGGTCCCGGTTATCTAATTTGTCTTCTGTTGTTCGTACATTAGTAGTTGTATTTGATAATCAGTTTCTGCAAACAATTTCGTCCCATAATTTGGTCCTGTGTTATCTTCCAGGAACTTTATAGTTTTCATTTCATTATTTTAGGTCTTTGATCCATTTTGTGTTAGTTTTTGTTTATGGTGTGAGTTATGGATCCTGTTACATTTTTCTGCAAATGTGTATTGAGTTTTGTCAGCGCCGTTTGTTAAAAAGAAACTTTGTTTTTCCCCATTGAATAGTCTTTGATCCCCTGTCAAATCAGCTGCTCATAGATGGATGTACTTCTGGGTTCTTAATTCTATTCCATCAGTGTCTGTGTCTGTCACTGAACCAGTACAAGGCCACTTTGATTACTGTGGCTGTGTAGTAGCTTCCATTTTATCTTAAGGGATAAAAAAAAAAAAAAGATTGAAATCATGGAAAATAAAAATGTTGATTTTATTGTAGGATTTTTTCTTTTTGAGAAAAAAAGACATTGCAATTAACTTGAATATTTGTTTAACTGCAGCAGCTGCTCAGCCAGGAACTGAGATCTTTAATTTGCCAGCAGTCACTACCTCAGGTAAGATTCATAATGCATTTTTTGTCAATATGAAATTGGTATAGTAGCAGTCAATCCAACAAATACTTACTGAATACTGACTTCCTATCAGAGGACTGTTCCAGTATGCAAAAATAAAGTATTATCTCTTCCCTTATAAAGCTCATAATCTAGTAAGGGAGGAGGTAATCAACAACAAAAGATGAACACAATCAACACCATTAAAGAACAGGGTAAAAACTAGGGAACTCAAAAGGACAAGAAAACTTGAGTAGCTTTAACACACGTGGATTATTAATTCACCTAGGAAAGACAGATATCCTTGAGTTATTATTTGTGTATTTAGATGGCCTCTGTGTGGGCTCTCAATAGTGTTATAAGCTACTGCCTCCCGAGTAGTACCTCACGTGGGCTGAAGGGCTGTATGTAGTCTGTTTCCTGATAAGCAGAAATGCTTTTTATTGTCTTTCAGGCTCAGTGAGCTCTAGAGGTCATTCTTTTGCTGATCCTGCTGGTAATCTTGGTCTAGAAGACATTATCAGGAAGGCCCTCATGGGAAGCTTTGATAACAAAGTGGATGATCATGGAGTTGTCATGTCCCAACCTGTGGGAGTAGTGCCTGGTAGTGCTAACACCTCAGTTGTGTCCAGTGGAGAGACACGCAGAGAGGAAAGGGACCCATCACCTAATTCAGGTACAGTTTTCTTTTTTGTTCTCTTCTGCTTTTTCCAAGAAAAAGCAATTTCCCAAGTTCTGATGCAGAGGGATTTTATCTTTATATGCTTTTTTTTTTTTTTTTTAAGTTAACCTTCTGAAAACTATGCTGTCACCTTCCAACTTTCATTGATTTTAAATATATGTGTGTGTGGTCTGTATGTATGTATAGGTGTATTTTAAAGTTATAATACTACAGTTATCTTGGTTGTATAGTCTTTGTAATATAGCACCAATATTCTGAGGTTTACTTTTCTTCATCTAATTTCGGTCACAAAGGGTGTTGAATTCACTGTTTTTCCATGTTTGAGAATGTCTTATTGCTTTTATACATATTTAAAATGATAGCCCGCCTCACACTTTTCTCAAAACATGCTATAGACATGATTCCTCTTCTTCTGCCATTCATTGTTATATAAGAAATAAGATAGGATTTTCCTGTGTTTTTGTGTGGGTGACTCCCAGGAAATCTGTACTCTCTTGATAAATTGTTTCTTTTGCTGGGCTCTCCATTTCAGAAACACCAATTATAATTCTGATGATAGTTTCTGTCAACCATATTCTTCTAATCACTTTAGCCAACGTGGTCCTTCTCCATTGCTTTTACTGTGATTATCTCAAAACTTTCTTTCATACTAATAATTTCCTTTTTAGTTATGTCTGTTCTGTTCTTGCTATTTCTAATTCTGCATTGTTTTGGTATGAGTCCCTGGATGGTACATTTAATGCATTAGGCTGCTAACCAAAAGGTTGGTAGTTGGCGTTCATTCAGAGGCACCTCAGAAGAAAGGCCTGGCAGTCTACATCCAAAAAATCAGCACAGTTCTAGCAAGCCTATTCTGACACACATAGGGTCATCCTGAATTGGAACCAACTCAATGTTGTTACTTGTTTCCTAAATTATCACTTTTTGGTTTTTCATTGAGCTTCTTTTGTAAATTGGCTTACATTCTTTCAAGTTTTTCTATCAGCATATGATATGTTTTTAAATTACATTTTCTTCCTTATTATCAATAACTTGCATTTCTTCTCTTTCCAGCTTGTTTTGAGGGCTAGAAGTTGCCTTCTATCCATTTTTCAGTAGTATGAAGGATTTTGGGGCACGGTTAAATCATTCTCTTGGGCTTAACAAAGAAGTTCCCTGGTGACCTAAGCTCTGATCTCTTTCTTCTGAGATCTTTTTAACGTATTGTCCTAGAGCCCAATCAGGGGTATCTTGTTCCTTTTGAGCTTCTGCTGAATTCACTAACTAAATAAACCCAAAAAACCACTCTTACTGCCATCATGTTGAATCCAACTCATACTGATCCCTCCTTGGGTTTCCAAGGTGGTATTTCTATGGAAGTAGATTGTCTAGTCTTCCTTCCAAGAACCTTGGAAAATGGGCCACCAAGAATGGCTCTGCTTAGGTCCTATAATGGCATGTCAGGGCTTCTGTTCCATACAGTTTTTTTCCCTTGGTATGTATTTCTTTGTGTAATGTTTTAAGACTCTGTGTGCTTCCCTAAAAATTTAGGAGAAGTTGGGGTTAGGTAGGAGACCTGGTGGTACAGTGCTTAAAGCACTCAGCTGCTAACCGAAAGGTTGGCAGTTTGAACTAGAGTTTTGAATCAGTTAAAGCATGGTCAACCCAGCAAGATCAAAACACCCGAATTCGTAAAATGTACCAGAACGATAACCAGAATGGGAAAAATTATGGGCTGAAGTCCCGAGATGGAAGACTTGGAAGGGGCATAGTGAGGCTTTCAGGAGCCTGATATGGGAGACTGAGTTATTGGAAGGTCTGTGGAGAGCAACACACATTGAAAGCAACACAGTCAGTCACCATCTCTGAGCAGGGCACTATATTTCCAACTCTGCCGGTTAAGAGATTTGGTTGCTATGCATTGTGCATGCTGCCCTTGTTTTCTAAGAGATTAAGTTTCTATCAGCACATTGCAACCCATCATTTTTCCTCTTATAGTTACTGTTCTGATTCATCCGTATTTTACAGATTTGGATTCATTCCAGTCTCGCTTCTTCAGCCGTGACTAAACTGGGAAAAACTGGTTCTAAGCTCTAGTTAGAGCTCTGGTAGCATAGTGCCTAAGGCACTTGACTGCTAACCAGAAGGCTGGCGGTTCAAACCCACCAGCCACTCCTCGGAAGGAAGACGGGGCAATCTACTTCCGTAGTGATACTGCCTCAGAAACCCAAGGAGGGGTCGCTATGAGTCAGGTCCGACTCGACGGCACATAACAACAACAACGAGCTCTAGTTTGGACCCATAAGCTGCTCCACTGTTCTAAGACCAAGAAAGAAGCTTTGATATTACAGCAGCTCAGTTCCTTGGTTTCCATATTTTTTAATTTGTGGCATGAGGATGCACCCCTTTGTTTTGTTTTGTTTTGGTTGTTGCAAATAAAATTCCATTTTTCTTTTATTTCACTGGGTAGTAAGGTCTGGATTCTTCATTTTACATTTCATGTTACTATTCACTAGTATTTTCATAGATTTTTAAGTTGAGAATTTAAATACTGTATATCAGTAAGTTATCATTCAAATTGAATTTCATGTTCAGGAGGAGGAGGAGTTTGCAAACCAAAGCTGATCAGCAAATCAAACAGCAGGAAGTCTAAATCTCCTATCCCTGGGCAAGGCTACTTAGGAACAGAGCGGCCCTCTTCAGTATCCTCTGTACATTCAGAAGGAGATTATCATCGGCAGACACCAGGGTGGGCCTGGGAAGATAGGCCCTCTTCAACAGGTGAGAAACTTGATTTAACTGGCAAAAGATGAGACTGAAAGCATTTTTTTATCAGTATCTTGGTTATTATAAGGTCAGATAATTGTTTGGGAAGCTATCTCTCCATTACTGAATTATTAAGAGAGTTCACTTTCCAACGTAAGAAAAAACTCATTGCTTTTGAGTCAGATCCAATTTATAGTGACCCCTCCTTGGACTTCCAAAGCAGTTTCACAAGTAGATTGCCCAATTTTCCTTCCGAGAAGTGGAACACAGAAAGTGAACGCATATAAATTCTCAAAAGTTTCAAGGATGCTAAACATGATTACCACAAATAATGGAAGAGCTAAGAACAAATAATCTCATCCACTGCCTTTACTTACTTGTGCAGTATGCTGCTGGTCGCCAACATTTGCTATTTGTAAAACAAGTTATAGTTTAATTTCTTTCATGAGCTGTACCTCACTGTAAATTGCCACTCTCAAGGCAACTTTACCTTTAGGATTTCATACAAACATTTTTAGAGAAGGTTCTTAAAATAATGTTAAGAAATTAAAGTCAGAAATGGGAAGTTTTTTTTAAAAAGCCATTGTCACTCTATAGGTTCACCATTAATACACCAACCAATGAAAAACAGTATTCTAGGATGTTTGTTAATGTTTTCCATTTTGTGCCTCTTAGTAAACATTTTTGATCATGGCAGTCTTAAGAGAATGGATTTGATTTTTAAATAAAACTGTCGGATATTTCCTATGGATTTAAAGTTTCAGAAGATTATCTTAAGCTCTCCTTTTTTTATGGGTTAAAAATAACACTGATATCAGTGGGAAAAAAAACTGTAATATGCCGTCCCCCCTAAAATATATGTAAATTTAATACTGTCATATCAGTATAATGCTTTATCTTATAAAAATCTTATACCACATATCAAGTGCACTAGTTTAAAAACCTCTAGTCTAGATGGATGATTGATTGTTCTAATGTCTTTCTAGAGAAGGAATTATTAGGTCATTCATGAAATTAATTAATTAACAATTAATTAATTACCTCCCATGAACTTCAGCAGAACAAGGCTACCCCCTTAGCCTGCTGAAATTCCTGAACATCTGTCCCTTGTCCTGAGAACTATATTCCTACAGTTTAAGAGTCAAGAGGTTCTTGGTGATAACCAGACTATATTTCAATTAGAGCTTAATACCAAATGGTTGACTACTTAGATTTTCCATGGAAACACTTAACTACTACAAATTCAGGACTTTTCTTTTCTCAGCTCAGCACCATACCTTCTTTTAGTTTTTCACCCAGTAGACAGTTCTCACTGATTGCTGTCTATCCTTGACTAGAACCTAAGTGGTATGAAATCTTGGCACTTCCAAGTTATACTCATTTTGATCTTAGTATCACTTTACTTTACTAGAAAAATCCTGTCCTAATTCTATCCTACAAAAGTTAAATTGGATAGAACTCAACAACTTGCTCATGATAGTGAAAATCTCATACTTTTTCTTTTGTCAGGCTCAACTCAGTTTCCTTATAACCCTTTGACTATGCGGATGCTCAGCAGTACACCACCAACATCAACTGCATGTGCTCCCTCTTCTGTAAACCAAGCAGTTACTCACCAACAAAATAGGATCTGGGAACGAGAACCTGCCCCACTGCTCTCAGCACAATATGAGACACTGTCGGATAGCGATGACTGAACTGTTCAAGTGAATCGGGAGTGGGGGTGGGGGGTAGAATGCAAGAGGAAGGGATCTCTAGGTTTTGGTGGTTTTAATTGCAAGCCAAAAACTTATGACTTGTGCCCAGAGACTTCTAGGAAAGCCAGGGCCACAGATGAAGAAGAAATGATAGAATTTTATTTGGAGAGTCACATGAGGAGCTGCCTTTGATATAGGCAATTCAGTGGATTATAATAGTGGAGGGCTGAAAAGCTGATGATAAATATGTAGAGTTTTTAAAAAGTGGACAATTCCTGTTCTTACATCTGTTTGTAAAGAAAACCATAATGTCTTTAAATCGTTTTTCTGTAAATAGATTACCTTTTTTGCAGTGTTTCCCCTTGCTGTAGTATATGATGTACTTATGTTCCAATCAGCGCATCAACTTTGGGGGTAAATTTTAAAAATCTTTTTGTCTGTCTTTTTAACCCTTGCCTTCTAAACAACCTCATACAGCCCAGTTACAAAATGTTGGCTGTCACGGGCATTGTACTTTTATCTGATTTTGTTTCCTCTAAATTCAGTTTCCCAGTGATGTTTAAATCTTGTGAAATGTTTAGATTTTTAACACAGACCCTTGTCATAAAATCTGTACATTAACATATTAGGGTTAAAGGGTAGGATAAACAAAATTCTGCCATACTGTAAATTTCCAATGCAGGCTTTTTTTTTTTTTTTTTTTTTAAATATTAGTTAACACTGAAAAAATATTGCATGGGTATGTTATAGCTCAGTTTTTAGAGTTTTAAAGGCTTATTGGATGCATACCTCACTGTTATGCACACTGGTAATTTAACCATACCCCTAAATATTCCTTTTCTCCTGCATTTGATGCAGCCCAACAAAGCTTTGGTTTTGAAATAAATTTGACTACCCTGTCCATAGCTATTATAGATTATTTGTGATTTAAGGCTCTTGGTGTTTCAGGTTGCAAAGGAGGAAAAAAAAAAAAAAATAACTGTTAATATAATTGCTTGATTTAAAAGATCTGTGTAGAATCTCTATAATTTAGATTTAATGATTTCTGAAGCATCCTGAACAACATTCATGGTGAACATAAGGTCTTTGTCTCACTTCTACATGCCAACACTTACTCTCATTTATATATTTCTTGTGGGCAAGAAGTTATTGTTGGATGTTTTCATTTCACTGATTCTTAAGGTATAAGGTACAAGTAATTTTAAAGACTGGATGTTAAACTAATTAAGGTACTTGAGGATTAGTTTTATCCTTCATTAAGAACTGCTTGCATACTTTTAGTTGTTTTTTAATACAGTCGAAGCGTATCGATTCCTTAGATAATAATAGTTTTGGGAGAATGCCACCAATGATTGGAAAAAGGAGAAATAGAGGTCTCTAATGATGATAAAAAATTAGCAATTTATGAAGTTTTAAGTAGATTTAAACTTTTTAACAAAGTACTCAAGCCTCTACAAAAAGAAACTCTAAGATGAGTACTCAGTGCCTCTTCTGTGATAATTGCTTTACATGTATTATCAAGAACCTCAAATCAACTCTGTAGCAGTGATGTTTAATCCCTACATAAACAGGATCAATGCTCTGCCTATAAGTTACAACGACAGGGCATAAGCTCATGTTCTTCTGAAGTTAAACCCTTTTTACTCCAGAAACTATGCCACTCTAGTACAGTAATAAACTTTACATCAGTCAGGCGTGGGAGTCAGAGTCCCTACTACTTGGAAAGTTGGCATCACTTTATTATAAATATATGTACATACATACATACACTTTTAATATACATGGAAAACAATGACTGAATGTTTTACCTCTTGAAAGTTTTGTTTATAATTTTTATTGTCAACCTGACCAAAAAGAGATTATGATGGGTTTTCTATAACCTTGAGGATCTAAAACTATTCTAAGTCAGAACAGTTTTTGTCAGATGAGAGCATAAGATTTGCTCTTTTTTGCAGTTCAACTTGAGTACCCCTGGGTAAGCTTCTATTAGTCACTTCCCCACCCTCACCAGAGCATGTATGTCACTTCACACACCATCACCTGGGAAGAGTTGGGAGGTAAAACCCATTATCATTTCTTAGTTCAAAATAGTAAAAGGACAGAATGCTTATATGGCTTACCTATGAAACAAACCATCAGAAAGGGTGGACATCCACCTTATCAGGATTTAAATGTGAAAGGACAGTTCTAAGAGTAACTAGTGAATTGACATTAGCTGTAAACCAAAGAAGGTATAGTATTCTTTGCTGGCCAAGATGTCAGTGTTCTGAAGCTACATCATTATGCATTATTTAGTACCCAGAAAGAACCATGTCAAGGTCTCCCTAATAATGTGCACAGGCATATTCTGACAATTTTCTAGTGTGTGTTTACGCTTGGAAATTTTAGTTTTAATTTTGGTGTGATGAGTGGTTCTATTTAAAAAATATTTATGCCCTGAACATAGTACAGTTCAAAAATTTAAACCATTCTTTTTTTTTTTTTTTTTTAAACATGTCAGTTCTGGAATCAGACCATTTAGTAAAAGGGATCAGTTCTCTTTTTGCTTTGCTAACTTGATTTACAGCAGTATGAACCATTCATATGAAGAGACTGTCTTTCTGAAAACTCTATAGTTTTTCCAGCACCAACACCAGAAGGTAAATCATTGTGAAGGATCAAAATTCTTAGGAAAAAACCCAGAGTGAAAAATCTAACTTTCAGAAATCCCAACAAAGCAACTGCAGTAGTGAAAAGGTAAAAATTCATTCTTGTTGCAGAAGGTAGGCAGTTGACATTTGAAAAAATAATTAAGAATGGGTTGCACTGAAACTCAATCTGAATTTTCTCTTTCTGAAGCAGACTTTATATTAAAGGAATTAACTGGGTAGGTAAGTAATGTCTAGATGAGATTAGGAAGTGGGAAATTTACATCTGCAAAATACAAAATTTTCCTTTTAGTCTATTACTGAGAGTGTAGATCAGGGCTTATAGTACTTTACCTTTTTTTTTTTTTTTTTTAAGGAAACTCAGGGATTACTGAATGTATACATATTGTTGTACAGTCTCTAGTTTTTTATGAAAGGAGTCTTCCTGTATGTACACTGGAACCAAAAACATCAGTCTGTTGTTCTACTCCCCACCCCTACAGCCTACCCATGTTCTTTCGTGGCATCTAGAAAAACTCATTTCCCTAGGCAAACGGCTATAGCCAAGACTGCTGAGATCTGTGTAGCTTGTAGTGATATATTTTGAGGCAGTGTGATAAAGCTATTTCAACATAACAGTCCATTCACTAAAGGTCTTATGACCAAACACCTTATTCCCGTGGTTAACAGAGAATCTCATTCATTTCCCACTTTGCAGATGAGGATATTATGACTCCAAATCAAAAAGCCAGGACTAGAATCCAGATCACTGGTTCTTCTATTATACCAGTGGTGCTCATCAGAATTACTATACTTGTAGGGTCCCTACCTTATGCATAGGAGCTCTGGTAGCATAGTGCCTAAGGCACTTGACTGCTAACTAGAAGGCTGGCAGTTCAAACCCACCAGCCACTCCTCGGAAGGAAGATTGGGCAATCTACTTCCGTAATGATATTGCCTCAGAAACCCAAGGAGGGGTCGCTATGAGTCGGGTCCAACTCGATGGCAAACAACAAAAACCCTACGCATGCAGTCTGGCATGCGTATCTTCAAACAGCCCCCGAGATGCTGCTCTAAGACCTAGTTGGCAAGTGAAACTGAATGCTCAGATAGTATTGACAAGCAAGGGGTTAAATCATTCCCTTTTACTTTTTTTTTTTTTTTTTTTTTAATAGTTGCATGTAACAAGATACAAAGAAAAACACAGATCACTTTTATTTATGATCAGATGGGTCAGATGGGTGCTATACTTTTCAGGTGCCTGCTTTCCACTTTAAAACTTTATGATGAATGCTAGTGTCAAATTAAAGATACTACTTTTCCTTCTTTATGCATGAAAATCCCAAACTGGGCTTCATGAAATAGATTATAAAGAAAAACAACTCATCATCCCTTCTTTTCCATGAGATAGGCAACTACTGTCTGCAAGATACTGATAAGGTAAGCAAGGCAAGGGCCACAGATCAGTGGACCAAAATGTTATGGTAGAGATGCCAGGCCGACACCACACACCTTCATCTCCTTCAGAGGCAAACAGGCCCATCTTAACCTATAGTTACAAAAAACAAGGATGGATGGCACCTAGTCATGCATTACAACTAAAAGCGTAGCTAGACATTTGTCATCAGAAGTCAAAATCAGGCAAGGGTGAGAGGTCAAAGTTCATTTTTCTTTAAAAAGAAAGAAAAGTGGTAGTATATACAATGTCCTTCAGCAACAAGAAACTGATAAAACTTGAGTATCAAGGACAAAAGATTTAAGCCACTGATTTGGGTGCCAAAAATGGAAAAACAGCTATTCCTGTGGGTTATTAGAAATTATTCTTCCTACAACAAATGCTTGATAAAATTAAATCAAAGGTCTACTTTTTCTTGACAGCTCAGCCAACTCTTCCCTGATGTGTTGTATGGAAACCTCATCTCTTTTCAGCTCTGCTTGCTTCAGTGCTTCCTGGTAGATCTCTTTGGCTTGCGAAAATTGTTCTAAAGAACCCCAGGAGAGAAGGAAGAACAAGAAGAAAATCTAGTTTTCAAAATGATTCTAAATAGAAAGCCCTAATGACAGTAAAGGTCTAATTAATTGTGTGCTTACTCAGTGACATACAGGTAATGCTTAATTTCATCCCCATTTTACAGATAAGGAAGCTGGCTTAGAGATGCATAACTTCACCCAGGTTTTAGAACACCAACCCAGCGATTACTGTGGGATTCTTAATTATGCCCTTTCTAGTATACCATGGGACCCCCACTTGATTAGGCAAGGACTTCAGTAATGGTGGTATGTATAATAAAGACTTGTCATTCTAGGTTTCTAAAAATGAGAGGTGAGTAACTGAAGCAGGATGGCATAGTATGCTTATGCTCAGAAAAATGTCCATCTAACTCTGGTATTCCCTAACATGTTTACTGTAAGGAACAAATTAAACTATGCATGAGAACATTTTCAAATCTGTAAAACACTATCGAAATAAGGTACTTTCATTGCAAAGTCTTTCTGTAGCTTGGTGTGGTTCAGCAGGTAATGCAGGACTTTAATGTTATATGAATTGAGCACAGTGGTGTTTCAACCAAACATATAACCCTTTTCTGCCCTCATTCAGCCACAAGCTTCTAACTCAGGAGTTTCCTTATTATCCCTTGTCCTCCCTAAACACCACTTCATAGTTATAAATACCATCAATATCCTTGCCTAAAACAAGCCCATCAAGTTTCCAACGTTACCTACCTTTGTGCATCAGAATTGCAGCTAGATTACTGAGCACAATGTGTAGCTCAGGGTGTTTTATCTCTCTTGCCAGATCTGATGCCCTCTGCACATAAACGAAGGCCTCATCAAAGTGGCCCTGTGCATCCAGAGTGGTAGCAAGGTCATTCATCAGCACAATCGTCTAGTACGAAAGAAACACAATCAACTTTTTCTTTAAAAACACACCTATGCAGATTTCACATTAGTTTAGAGTTTGATGAAGTTTGAGTATATACTTAAGCTTCATCTTACCTAGCATAGCATTCCTCAAGAGGTCAGGAATACTAGCCTTTAATAGATTATGTGTACTTATTAGTCACACTGTAAATGGACATTGGTTCAACCCACAAATTATACAAATCTAGACATTAGGAAATAGGTACTTTTACTTATTTATCCAACTAATTATTAATTGATGTTGTTAGTCCATCTCATGGTGACCTTATATAAAAACAGAATGAAACAGTTCCCTGTCCTGTGCCATCCTTACAATGTTTGCTATGTTTGAGCCCACTGTTGCAGAGCCACTGTGTTAATCTATCTCACTGAGTGTGTTCCTCTTCTTTGCTGACTCTCCACTATTCCAAGCATGACATCTTTCTCCAGGGACTGGTCTCTACTGATAACATAACCAAAGTACTTGAGACAAAGTCTCACCATCCTTGCTTCTAAGGAGCGTTCTGGCTATACTTCTTCTAAGATATATTTGTTTTTCCTTCTGTAGCTCGTGGTATATCCAATATTCTTTGCCAACACCATGATTCAAATGCATTAATTCTTTGTCTGTTTTCCTTACTCATTGTCCAGCTTTCACATGCATATGAAGCAACTGATTAGATGCACCGAATAAAAAATAACAGCAAAAAGGAGGTATAACCCATTTAAAGTTCAACAGTGTTGAAAAGCCACCCCCTTATGATCTCATTGCCTCTGGAACCATAGTGTATAATGTAATTCTACTGGTGACTCTGAGACTCATTAAGAATATCTCTTTAAAGAAGATCCTCATGAAGCATTATTAAATGTTTGCACTAAATGGGTCCAGCTCCCATACCTTCTTCCCATTGAAAGCAGGCTTTAAGTCCCCTGATTCTTGGTAATATGAATTCCATGCTTACCTTTTTATGATCCTGCAATGGTAATGCACTAAGCAGACTCTGTGGACTCTGTAATAAGCCCCGAATTCCTTCCCTGGAGCTAAGTCATAGATCAAAATCCCTTTTCTTGTAAAACTATTACTTGTTCCACTTTGGGATATGTTCAAGCCAGTTAAAATTTGTGTCTACTATGTTCTGTATAGGAGCTTTGGTAGCATAGTGCCTAAGGCACTTGACTGCTAACCAGAAAGCTAGCGGTTCAAATGCACTTGCCACTCCTTGGAAGGAAGGTTGGGCAATCTACTTCCGTAGTGATATTGCCTTGGCAACCCAAGGAGGAGGTGTTTTGAGTTGGGGCTGACTCATGTCACACAAGAACATCAACATGCTGGGGATACCAAGCATTCCTAGGCAAAGTGATCTACTCCTTACCCTCTAAGAACTTAATCTGACAGAGGGAGGCACCAACAGATATTCTCAATTAAATGTGTTTATTGTTCTGATACAAAGCTTTATACATGGTGTTTTCAAATTCTATGTCATTGGTTTATAATGTCAGTCCCTCCTCCTCTTACTCTCCCCAATCCACACTTATTTTAACTGTGCAGTTAAAGGAACTTTATCTATGAACCTGATCTTCATAAGAATCTAATGAAGGGGCTCTGCAGACCCAGCTCTGAAAACCCCGTGCTCACTCTGAAGCCATGGAAGCACACAGTGCCTGGTTAGACGTGAATTTTAGAAAGGTTACTCTGCTGCGTAAATCATGGAAATATTCTGGGTTGACCCTGTAATTGTCCAGAAGCCCTAAATCTTTTTTGAAACTAGTTTACAGGGGGAGAGATTATTAGGGGGAAGTGGTAAGAAAATGAACTTGGGCTTGAGGAGGAGGATATTTCTGAAATCATCTGCTCGTAATCGAATCCTAATCAGTGTGGCATTTCATACCTATAAAGTTTGTTTACTTTACAGTCCCTCTTGTATGTTTTTCTCCCTTACCTGTGGGTGTCTTTCACCTTGTATTTCTTCAGAAATCTGCAAAGCTTTTTCATACATCTTTTGTGCCTGTGATGGCTGCTTGGTGAACAGAAGGTAGCGAGCATAGGAGTCTAAGCACATGCCTAGGAGAAGGTAGGTATTGGCTTTCTCTTCCACTAAGAAGAAAATAAGAGTAATGCTGGAATATAACAAGTACTATACAGAAAGCATGGCAGATAGCTAGCCAAACTACCCTATAATTTTTTTGGTACAGACTATACGGAGTCGCCAAATACTCTGAGACCTAATCAAGCTTTAAGTCCTTTATTTCTGGGGTCGAGAAGTGGCTCATGCCAGAAAGGACACTCGACTCAGAAGAGAAGCTTCACAGGGTTTATAAAGACAAAATCCACAAGCGGGTGGGGTGTAATATTGAGTGTCCTTTTTCTATCCTTCATAAGCAATCTTTTACACAGAAAGCAACGTTAAACCTAATCTAGCATATCTAGTTTCTGCAGAGAAACTCCTTGGCATTGTGGTTGGGCCTCATCTGCTATGAGGGCTTCAACTAGGACTCAGCCTTTGCAAGCAGACTTTCAGAGAAGCTGAAAAAGCATTACAGTTACTCTAGCAAGTCACACCTATAGGCAACACCTAGTATCGTGGTCTGTCTCTGGTTGGCGTAGGGACTTAACTACTAGGTCACCATATTCTGCCAGAACAGATGAAATAGTCTAGGCCTGCAGCCTTTCGGTTGAAAGAAGATGGGGTGGTCTAGACCTGTAGCTTAAAGAAAAAAAACTTTATGGGGGTATCAGCATGTCAAGATGGAGTCAGTTAAGCTATCTGGCTCCTCACAAAACCCACAAAATGCTTTATAAGTATTTGGCTCACTGAATGTTTCATGTAGTTAGAAGTAATTTAAATGGATTAACATCCAATTAAATTATATATTCAGATCTGTGGAATTTTTTGTAGTATTTTAAGTAAGATTTAAGAGCTCACACATCAATTAAAATATAGACTATTTTGTTTAAAACTAATAATATTCAGCAGGAATAGGAATAAACCCAAAGAGGAATGCGTTAAAAACAACAAAAAATCTAGGGGGAATGAAAAAGTTTCAAGGTTCAAAAATAATCTTAGCAATAAGAAACCAGAAAACACTCAATTCTGAAATGAAAAATAAAAAGCTAGATTTAAAGAACAATTAATTCATTTTTTAAAAAAGGAATAAAGGTTGCAATGATACAGCACTTCTCAACATATTACAGAATTGATTCTGCAGTGTGTGAAAAAGAACAAATTACAGAAATACCTAATGCCACAAACAAAGAATAGAAGAACACAGATCTGAACAATAATCAATGGCAACTTGCACAAGTAAAGACTTCGGAAAGACAATACAAATAATGTAGAAATAGTAATAAACTACAAGGAAATTCCACAAACTCTACATAAAGGGTTATAAATACAGGTTATCTCAGATCTTATGTAACCAAAAAAAAAAAAAAAAAACCATTCTCTGCCATCGAGTCAGTTCCAACTCATAGCAGCCTCCACTGGGTTTCCAAGGAGATAAATCTTTATGGAAGTAGACTTCTTGGTCTTCCTTCCATGGAGTAGTTGGTGGGTTTGAACTGCCAACCTTCTGGTTAGAAGGTAAATGCCTTGGGCACTGCACCACCAGAAGAATGACATACCAGACATCCAGCTGATGGTGCTCACTCAGCTTATTGACTAGCAAAGTATCATTCCTATCTAAACACCTTTCTGTACCTTCAAAGCTTCAGAAAACAGCATATAGACTTTAAAGGAGATTAAATTACTAAACTATAAACCCATTGCCATCAAGTTGATTCTGACCCACAGCAACCCTACAGGACAGAGTCTAGAGTAGAACTGCCCCACAGAGTTTCCAAGGCTGTGTATCTTTACAGACGCACACTGCCTCTTCTTTCTCCCACAGGAGCTAGTGAGCAAACCATCAACATTTCGGTTAGCAGTGAAATGCATTAACCAGTATGCCACTAGGGCTCCTAACTACAGTACAGTATAACTAATTACAGAAGAGATCATTTCAAATAAATTATTAGCAGATGAAAATAGCTGTTGGAATAATACCAGGGGGGTTGAAAGTGAAAAAAAAAAAAAAAAGGATGAAACTCTTCTTCTTCAAAAAGAAATCTAAAGAGTTTTTGTAAGATGGCAGAATAGGCAGAAAGACAGCACAGACTCTCTTCAACAAAGAAAAGGGGAACCAATTAACACAGAAACAGAAGATAATCCTGGACCCTGGAGCCTTGAAGGGAAGGATTACAGAAGTAGACTAAACTCCAACTAGCAGAAGAATTTTCATGAAAACACCAAAAGGCATACGAAGCTGCGGTCTGGCAGCAATCCAGATGGCACGGACAGATTGGATATTGCTGAGTGGTGGTAGGACTGAAGATGTAACCTAAAAATTGGCCCTGCTAGCCAGGGACTACAGGGGGACTGCTCTGGTGGCTGGGGAATAAAAGGGAAAGCAGCAAAGAGGAAGATGGGATGACCTGTGGACTTTTGTCTGTCCGGAGGGCACAGCCATTTTCAATGTTTACAAGTGGCTTGAGCATTTTGGGTATATAAAGCCACAGCACTCTCCCAAATTCCAGGGACTTAAGAACAGCCCCCACTTGCTGGGAACCCCAAGGACATTCCAGACCCAGATGACTGGAAAGATGCAACATTCCCCTTGTTACTCATATACCCCACACCCTCATGGTGCAGCCATCCCTTAATCCCACCCACCTTTTGGGCTGACAGGAATTCCACCCCCGTCTGTATGCTCTGATGGAACCTGGGTGCCCTGCCGCCCCCTGCCCCCAATTTTTTCTTTCTTTTTTGTTTTTCAGTTTGTTTTTGTCTGTTTTAAAACTACTATTATTATTACTTTTGTCCTTTTTACTATTATTCTTTATCTTCCCCTCCCAGGTTCTTTTTTTCTTTTCCCTATTCCTGGCTGCAATTTTTTTTTTTTTTTTTTTTTTCTTTTTCATGGTTAACCCCATTGCTTGTTTTTCTTTTTGGGTTTTTCCCATTTTTTTCTCTTATTGCCCACTCCCCAGATACATGCAGGGATTTTTTTTTCTTGTTTTTCCTTTTCTTTTTTTGGTTACTGATTAAATGGTGTAATTTTTGTCCATTTGTATTTACTTTTTTGATGGTATTCAACTGTAATTTTTGTCTGAGAGGAAGACAGCAACAGTCCCCATACGACATGACTACACCCACACCTCCTGCAGCTTCAGGTACTGAGAGCCACCACTTCCTTCTCCACCAGTGGGCCAACGATAAAGACCCAACAAGAAGAGCCTGACTCACCCTTAGCTGCTCTTCACAAACAGTTAACAGAGATCTAAATAAAATGACGCCACAATCTCTCAGAGACAACAGACCATCACAGTCCACACAAAGAAGCGAGATAAAGTGGTAGAAACAAGGGAGCAGGAAACAGACCCAGAACACATCCCTGAGGAAGAAGGAGCACTGGAACTCTCTGATAAGGAATTCAAAAGAATTATATTTAGGTATCTTCAAAGGATTGAGAGGCAGCCCAAGGAAAACCAGACAAAATCCTAGAAGAATACTGGAAAAATACACAAGAACAAAATGACAAAATAAATGATTCTAAATCTACAAATAGTATAATAGTCAGAAATAGATAACACACTGGAAGGGAAAAGGAGTAGAACTGATGCAGTGGAAGACAGAATTAATAAGATTGAAGACAAATACCTGAATACATCTTTGGAAAGGGATCAATCAGGAAAAAGATCAAAACAAAATGAAGAAAGCTAAGATTCATGTCAGATACCATCAAAAGGAATAACCAGCATGTCACTGAAATTCCAGAAAAGGAAGAGAAAAATAAAACCACTGAGAAAATATCCAAGATTTGTTGGAGGACAACTTCCCTGATATGATGAAAGATGAGAATATATCCATTCAGGAAGTCTACCGAACCCCAAACAGGATAGACCCCAACAGAAAATCACCAAGACGTATCATCAAACTCATCAAAACCAAAGACAAAGAATCCTGACAGTAACATAGGAAAAACAAAAAGTTACTTACAAAGGACAACAAAAACAAAAAGTTACTTACAAAGGACAACAAGTACGAATAAGCTCTGATTTCTAAGCAGAAACCACGCAAGCAAGAAGGCAATGGGATGGTATATATAAAACCCTGAAAGAGAAAAATTTTCAACCAAGAATTATGTACCTGGCAAAATTGTCCCTCAAATATGATGGTGAAATTAGATTTCCAAATACGCAGAAAATAATGGAATCGGTTAAAACCATACCAACCTTACAAGAGATACTAAAGGGAATCTTTTGTACAAAGAACCAAAAATAGCAAATAACAACAGACCACTAATACACAAGATGACATAACCAAGAAAGCACAGCTATGGACATATCCAAAGTAAAATAAGCTTATAAGATAGTACACAGGTAACTAGAACCATCAATTGGCAAGTACAGACAACTACAAACCAAAAAGAGGGAAAATAATGTCTAGTTACAGAACACCTAAATGGTGAGAAAGTCAAGAGATGCAAGATAGAATGGACTGTTCTAATCTCAGGAAGAAAATTACAAATCACAGGGTAACCTCAAAAAAAAAAAAAAAAAGATAAACCTTCACATAACTGTAAAAAAAAAAAAAGCACAAGTACAAATATTCAGCAAATACTAAAACAACAGTAACAAATGAAATGATAACACAATTCATAAACATATCATGAGGTCAGCATAGAAAATAATATGGAACAAAGAAACCAGGGACACCATGAAAAAACACTTAACAAAATGACAGCAACCAATTCACACTTGTCAATAATTACACTGAATGTGCATGACTCAAGAGATGGAGAGTTGCAGACTGGATAAGAAAACAAAACCCATCAATATGCTGTCTACAACAGATACACCTTGAAGACAAAGACAAAAACAGACTAAAAATCAAAAGTAGGAAAAAGATGTATCAAGCAAATGGCAACCATGAAAGAGCAGGAGTGGCAATATTAATTCCTTATCAAATTGACTTTTAGACAAAAACCACCATATGAGACAAGGAAGGACATTATTAAATTATTACTGGTTAAAGGATCAATTGAACATGAAGATGT